TACAGTGCTCACATAGGAAATATACTCAAGTTTAAATTAAAAACTTTTCGAGTGTGTATCGTATATATTATAAGTAAAATACACAAAGAGTAATACTCATAGTTTTCAAACCTCATTTTTTAGGCCTTTCTATATTTTATGGACCATTTAAAAATCATATATTTCCGAGAACTACTGACAGTTTAATGATATTATAAATACATTTTTTTTTATATACCAAATGGTTTTTCTACCACAATTATTGAGCCAATAGGAATAAGTAATAACCAATAAGTAATACATTGATGAAACAATATAGTTAGTAATAATTTTAGTAAGCATGTTTTATAAATTAACCAAGTATGGGTGTATTAGTCTTGTTCTAATTTACCCTTGATGAATGATAATTCAAATGTGATAAAATATTCAATGAAAATAATATGTACCAGCTGCTAATGAGGATTTCAGATATAATGAAAAAATACTTGCCCGTAGCTTACAATGTGCATATTTAAGTATATTAATATTATATTATTAATAACTTTTATTCATTTTAGTATTCACTATTTTATAATTATTTTTATATTGTAACATTAATTATAAGTTTTATTTTGTTGATAATAAATCAGCTAGTATAAATTATTTATATTTTTTATTCAACAACCGACATATTTTTGAATATAATGTGGTTAAATATAAATTTAAAAAAAATTATTTGGAATATAATTATCTTCAAATAGTGTTAGTTTATTCATATACACACTTCAATAGATTAACGTTTACTGATATTTGTTTTCATTAATAAAATAATTTAAATGTTAAATGAATTTTAAATTTCAAAATTATATAATATAATAAAATGTAATAGAAAGTTATATAAGCTGTTTAATCAATTATTGCATAATATTAAGTATCTGTAGGTATTTCTATTATATATCTATGGTCACATACCAGCATTTAATATGGTTTGTTTACAAGTACATAAATATTTTTGATTTTATTTCCTTTCGACATTTTATTTTATTTTTTTTTTTCAATTACATATGAATGTATAGTATTAGAATAGCATAAAAACAATATTTGTAAAAATATTAAAATGCAATAATAATATCTTTCTTACTGGTAAATCGTATTAATATGTGCCATAAAACATATTATATTTTCATTTTTTGCACATGGATGTTTCTTTTGGTTTATGTTAAACAAATTTATAGTGAAATAACTTCTCATAAAATATTTTTACAGTAACTAGGTACATGTGTTTGTAATTTTCTAAAAGTTTTGTTTCTATTTTTTATTTTTACTCATTGGAAAGTACCAGACAACCATAAGAAACATACATAATTATGTATTATCATGATATATCGTGAAAATTCCACAATGTCAAATAATTTGTATCTGGTTTTATAATTTTGGTAAAGCACAATTGAGTCCACTGTACCTAATTTTTAAGAACTTTGTTTTCGTACCATAATTTGTCAAATTTTCCTGTCTGTATTCGCGTGTACTCGTGTTCTAGCTATAATTTATACAATTGGTAAAACAAAGAATTTGTATATTTTATTGTTACAATAAATTATTGTTCATATTTATAGGTATATAATTTATATTTACATTCTTATTTGTTTATATTATTTTGTGTAAATAAATACTATCAATTTTTATTAAAGCAATAAAAATAAATTTAATTATAAAAATTATATTTCATATTTATGTAAGTAAATTAATTTTAATACTAAAAAAATTCACATTATTAAAAAAGAAATTTCTTGAAAATATATTTTATTTTTACATTGATTCTTCTTGAATCAAAGCAAAGTTATATTATAAAATATATGTATAGATATAAATTTTAACAAATTATGTGCCTTTATAGGACTAAATTCGAAATCTCATCTAAAAAATTGTTTTTATTGTCAAATAAAATCGATTTTTCTGCTCTATCGATTGATAAGAGTTTAAGATTTTAGTATACACGTTAGATATTTATTTTTTCCTTGTTGGTTACTGCAGTTAATAGATTTTCGCTAAGGGATGATTTTTTTGAACGGTTTGTTTATTGTATTAAATTTTTTTTTTACATCTTACATCAACACCATACGAATGCACAATATACTGTCAAAGTTTCACTTAATAAACGAGTCACAACTTAAGAGATAATATTATTGAAAGATAATCAATTAATAACTTATATAATAATCAATCATAATGTTTTATTTGGAGCTAGTTTCTACATGAAGTCAAAACTAAACATAACTTTTACAACACACATGGTGGTCAATTTCGATTTCCTTAATCTAATAATTGCTTTTTAATTATATTGACATCTAACTATTGTCACATTTTGTTTTTGTAAAACACGTAGTACAGAATAATACACAATTTAAAATATTAAAACTTATTTTTGCTTTATAATTAAAATTTATTTAATCTCATTATATAGTTGACTGTTAATTATTGTTAAAATATTATAACTTAGTATAAAGCTGTTTTGATAAATTGGCTTATATATTATGCTAATATATAATTAATATATTAATATGATCATAGTTTGATTTATAACAAATTATGTTTTTTTTACATATGTATGCACCACTATTTCAGTAGTTATTTTTATTTATAATTTAGAAGTAATAGAAAATTAATCATAAAAATTGTGTAAGTTGTATTACATCATTTTAAAGCGAGCAAATTAAACTGATCTGATTATAATATTCAATCGTAATATTTATTATTTGGTGCTAAAAATAATTTCTGAAATTATATTTTTGAATGGATCAAATTCATTATATTGATTATATTTTCTGATTTAAAACCTTTTTTCATATTAAAGTATATTTAAACACTGGTGTATTGTACAATACATGAATAGTCGAACACGTAAATTATACGAAACATTATTACACACGTAAAATATATAATGGAAATAATTATGGTTTATGTCAAATAATGGCACTAATATATATATATATAATATTAAATATGATATGTTTTGGAGAGATATACATGTAATATACTACCACTTTCTAATATATACTGGTAGACCGACAAACATCATCAAAGTTAGCGATCAAACTTAACACGAGAAAAATCAAAATTACTAAAAAAACTCACGGTCATTTCGTAACGGCTTTGATATTACAGTTCGTTTTGTTACTAAAAGCTTAAATTTTTAAATTTTTATTTTATTTGATGGTCATAATTTTACTAATTAAATTACATTTTAAATTTAATTATAGTTGCTTATAAAAGTTAATTAAAGTAAATTGTCTTACTATCAATTCTGCAAAATATAATTATAATTCTAACAAGAAAAAATTCAAATTCGTAAATAAAATGTATTTTTAAAAATAGCATTTGTTATAATATAAACATTTTAACATATACTAATGGTCTCTGATGTATATCTCAATATATCCATTCGAATTCAAAATTTTGGGCTTTTAGTCGCTTTAGATGATGATCTTTTCTTTCTAAAATACCTTATTTTTTCAAATCAGCTAAGAAATAGCTTCAGAAAATGACAACGCATTTCAATGTTTTTACTTTGTTTTTTATTTTACATTAGATTTGATTATCACTATTACTTTAAGAGTTAAAAATACAAAACTCCACTAAAGCTATAAAACAATATTTACTGATTACATATAAATATTATTTTTTATAATAATTAAGTTAATGATATCAATTTTATAGATGAATAAGCTCTAAAAACGTTTTAAAATAGATTAAAATTTGTTAGCTAAAAATTAAAACTATTATGAAACTATAAAATTATAATATATTTTTAAACATGATTTATACACCGTAGTTTTAATGTACAATAACAAATATTAAATAAATCTATTACAAAATAATGTGAAGGTGATATGACACTACAAACGACTGTTGTGTAACAACAGATAATACTTATTGAACAATTTACAATACATATAAAATATGAATATTTTATGATAATATGCATTTTATGTCGACGGAATTAAATGTTAATAAATCGGTAGACCAAAAACATTTAAACAATATTTACGTACACCGTTATTGTAATTCTATAGAAATCTATATACGTAAGTACATTAGCTTTGTGCGTGGTTTATATTTAAACGTACTTAATATATAATAATACATATAACGTCGTCACCTGAGAGCATACAACAATCACAAAATCAATGCAGCCTTTGAGTTTGAGTTTTGTGTAAATTTCTTCCCAAATCTACTAATTGAGAATGAAATTAAATAATACCCGAATACGCATGTATATAATAATAATAATAATATATTTAATATTGAAAACGATTTATTGGTAGGGCTATTAACTGTTAAAAATAATTTATTTTATTTTAAATTTTAACATTGCTTTGATTTAATAATATAATAAATCAAAAATTACGTTTCCCTAAAAAATAAAATAATAATATTGTATTTTTCTATCTATAATCACGATTAAAATTATTATACTCTACAATATCTACTACCAAAGTTCAAATGCATGGCAAACTAACCATAACACCAGTTTTATGTTTTCTTTTTAAACCAAAATACATTGTTTTAAATGTCAGTAAAACGTTTCGAATAAAACCACAAGTTTGGAAAACTTTCCAACTCTGGTTATAAGTATAATGAATAAATAAAGAATACACTCAACGTTGTCTTACCGTCAATCATGATTACTCTCTTTTATTGTTAATACAATTATTTTTTTATTTATCAAGCATGATATTTAACGATATTAATATGAACATTAATTCTCTCTATTAAAATCATATTTATTTATTATTTTTTAGTTTGCATTAAATTAGTTATAAACATTTTTAACAGATTTAATGTAAAATTTAGTTTTTACCACCAAGATATTTTGATTTCGGCCCGGTAAAAATACTCCTAAATTAATTTGTCACTGGTAAACAATATTTGATGGTATTATAAAGTCAAAGTGACAACGGAATTATATACCTTGTGACGAGCATATCATTCGCAGTGATGTGATATATCATTATAATACCAATAGTATAACAGGTACGTACCTGTCGATAGAAATCGCCATCAGGGTGAACACGCTAGCGCATATAGACAGCACGGCGACGAACTGGCTGATCTTGCAGTATGCCGTGCCGAACGTCCAGTTGCTGGTCAGCATATAACTAAAGTTTACTGACACGTTGAGTGTCGACACCATAGCGTCTGCTATGGACAAGTTCACCAGGAAGTAGTTGGTCACGTTCCGCATCCGCTTATTGGTCATGACGATCCATATGACGATCAAGTTGCCGCCCGTGGCCACCATGATCATGGGCACAAACAGCACCGTCCACGCCAACTGATGCCACCATTGTAGCTCGAACTGATTGCTGTCGGGCCACACCACCCCGTCACTTCCGTTACTGGTTGAATTGGGTTCGCCAAAATCAGATCCGTTCATGGCCCGCTCCGGAACCTGCGCAAAATCAAAATCTTCTGATCATTGCCTTTGGTCGGAAATAGCTAAATCCCAACGACTCCGTAGGAGCCTTCGCATCAAATGAAAAACAATTATTTATACATAGAAAATTCGATGCATCCAAGAGGTATTTTTAATTCAGCGAAAGGTAATAACTAAGTATGGTTGTAATGCGACTATACAAAGCTTACTGAAAACGATAAGCATTATTATCTTTTTAACGTGCGCATCTGTATATTGTGCATAGAAATTCAAAATTATTACCATACTTAATATACGCTGTACAGTGACTCTGCACGATAGTGATGCCCTTATTTATGTCATTTAAAAAAACTCAGACTTAACTAGATCATTTAGTCAATGATACAAGTGTTGGTGAAGTTGGATAAAAAAGTGTTGATTGTTTATTAATTATTATTCTTAAATATATATTCACTAACACTGATTTTTTATACAAGTTCGCTGCCAATATTTGCGATTTTGGCACATGAAAAAATATTTGTATAACCGAAAGTATTATAATATGCAAATTACATTCTCGATGCTTGTAAATCATATTTACATTTTATTCAATGTTTCGATAACTTTGGGTTCAATAATACTCCGATAGTATCTTCTTTAACGCTTTGCATATTATATACATATTTTTTTATACAAAAAATATCTAGTCTCTATTGTGACTCATCAGTACACTGTCGTTTCGCAAAATAGTCTATGCTCTAAAGTGTATTGTGTTATAATATTTGAAAGCTATCTCACGTTAAAATATAGTAATAGTAAAAATATTATAATGAGTGGAAATAATTCTTATTTTTACGTTAACTAAGAGTAGTGACCAAGACTGACAAACGAGAAACAATTTAAAGCCAACCATTTACAAATGTCGGGAACAGTAATTTATTATAATAATATTATAACGTAGACGAGTATAAACCATTTTAGGTGACGTAAACTGACATTTCTATTTAGCATTTAACATTTACGAACAATGTGCCAATATAAATTTTATATAGCACAACTGAAAACCATAACAACTAAAATAGAAATTTTAATATCTCATAGCTATTATTGTTTTATGTCGCACTGTTGAATTTTGATGAGATTGAATAGTTATGACTCTGTAACGTGGTCGGGGGAACCCTGTTACAATATTAGTTATCCAGATAAGGTTTTCTATTCCGTATGGATAAATTTTCCGTAGCTGGAGATTAGAGCACTATATTAGAGATATTTATCAATAATAAGACACGTTTGGTTTATATGTCTATGATAATTTTTATATTTAAAACAATATATTACTGTATGGAGGATAGCTGTTAATAATTATATTGTTGAGTTCGCCTATGTTGATGGTTAATGTCAAACTAACTGCTGTGTGTCATTTTAGTATATTCGTACTAATTCGAACATGTCAAAAGTGTTAACTATGTATATTTTGTATTAGTCAATCATATCGGTGTGTTTATTGTGTAATATATAATATATAACAAATGTTACAAGTCAATTAATAAAATAAAAGGCAACTCATCGGTAATAATTTAATTATGGCTCAAAATTTTAATTTTTTCATTAAAACTGTTTAAGCAAATATCGATCTTGTTAAATTATATTTTTGATACAGTGATATTATAATATATACAATATACAAGTTTTGAACAAATCAATATGAAATATTTTCGTTTGTTTTTAACAGAATTACAACTATTGAATTAATGAATCTAGCAGCTCCGTTAATAGATAATTTATTATTATTATTATTATTATTGTAAAAATAAAAACCATCCCAAGAAATTTTTAAATAATTAATAATAAGGTAACTGGCAATGTAATTAAAAAAATAAAAACAATGTATAAATTTATGTAAAGATTATATATGAATATATTTTTAAAGTTTTCATGTATCATGTGTCAGTGTATCCGGGATTATGAAACGATATTATTAAAATATTAAAAATTCCTATCATATTTTATTCATCTGATTAATGAGTGATAAAAAATAAAACTACTTAATGTAAGATTATAAAATGTATTACATTTTTAAAATAAGCACAGTTGGTGTGGTTTTCTCATATGTCTCAATTTCTTAATTGCTTTTAATAAAACAGTTATTTTTTAAAAACAACTAAACAAACATTTACTAAATAAAGACATAGTTTTTATTGATATAAATTATACATAACATAAGTTTTATAGGTATAAAAATTCTTAATATAGAATTATTATTAGATAAGACTAATTTATAATAACGGTTTAAAATTATGAATAAACTATTAAGAACACAACACTATTTAAGATTAAATATTTGATAAAAATGCATAATTTAACATTTAAGCAGTTTTTGAAATAGTGCTATTGAAGTTTTATAAAAATTTCAAAATTTACTTAAGTAAAATTATACGTATAATTTTAATATTTTGTAAATGTATAACAAGCATTATTATTAGATATTTGTATTTTGGGGTGGTGTGTAAATAATAAATATACACGAGTATAATAAAGATAAAAATCATTCTTGGAACGTGACTTAAAGACACAGTGAAAGGTATAAGTTGAACAAAGACGTAGCTTACAACAAAAAAAGTCACTAGAAACATTCGTTCTGAGTTCTTCATTGTACATTCGATAAAAAAATAAAAAAATGCGTTCACGTGAATATTGTTTTATTTCTATTGTTCATTGTTTTATATATTTTCATCGTAGGTGTAGGATAACAGATTCTATGTGAATTTCGGTAAAAATTTTTTTCGCGTGGATGCTCTACTATAGGTCATAAGTTAAAATGGTTATCTATATTGAATATTCGTGATATGAGTAGCTGATGCATAGCACAAATTTCTGTTATTAGGCAGTTATTGTGCGTAGATATAGGTAATGAAAATAAGGCATTTTTCGAGATCATATAAATAACAAAACAAAATTTACAATTCTCGTTGATAGAAGAGAAAATGACAATTATAATATTTACGAGTATAATACAAATTTATTCATACATCATTATTATGTTTATTACGATTTATCAAAATATATTCACAAATATTCTTATCCTATTGCAATCTTAACAATAATTTTTGGAAATATTTATACTTTTTTATTTTATTTTTAATGTTTTATGGTATATCGTTAACGCATACAATAAAATAACTTTATCAATAATATATAATTAAAATTAAATTACTATAAATAATATTAAAAAATGAGTTTTAAAATTATAAATACTGTCAAAAACTTAAAATTGATATGAAAATATATTTATATACTATAATAATAATATAAATATAAATTTAATTTTTGAAACAAATATGTTATGTACATAGGTTCCAGGAAATCCACAATATATACTTTTGATGCTCCGCGTTACAGTTATAAAAACAATGAATCTACATAACCACAAAAAAAAAAAAAAAAAAAAATACATGAGCATGCACATAGTAGAAATATTATTTTAATATTTTTTTAGGATGCTTAAACATTTTTTTTTTAAATTCGAATAGAATTTATTCATTTCCTTGTAGGAAAGAAAATAAATATTTCATATATTAGACTAGACATTTCTAAATGATTGTATAAAATACAATTCAGAGTAGTAAATTATGCTATATTTACGAATGAAAATTATATTGTGATGTCGGTATGTCACTCATTATGAATAGTACCACACAAATAAAGCAGTATGTTATTTGATACATTTTTTTGAAAAAAAAATATTGCACTTTGTCTAATTATTTGATTTATGCATATATGCTTATAAATAATATTATATTGTAATCATCATGTAGGTATATCATGGTTATTATATATAAATACGCCATTGCTTACTCCTTCGAAAACAAACTTTACTGCTCCGCAGTGCTACTCGATGTTGCACAAGCATTCGACAAAGTCTGGCACACTGGACTTCTGTATAAACTAAAACAATTTCTCCCTCCTCCTTACTTCCTATTCTTCAAATCATATCTAGAAAATCGCCACTTTGTGACTAAAGTAGGCTCAGATTTCTCAAACCTAGCACCCATCTTAGCGGGCGTCCCCCAAGGTGCCATTTCGTCCCCAATTCTGTATAACATATACGCCGCAGACCAGCCAACTTCTTCTAATACATCAGTTGCTGAATTTGCTGACGACAAAATCATCTTCACCTCTAATGAAAACCCTCTTGTCGCCAGCCAACATCTTCAAAATCATCTCAATGAGATGGAAGTATGGTATTCAAACTGGAAAATAAAAATAAACAACGAAAAATCTTCACATATAACCTTTACTCTCAGACAAGGCGTAGTCCCTCCTGTCTCTCTGGCAAACAAAATAATACCATCAGCTACCAAAGTTAAATACCTAGGCCTTCTCCTCGACAAACGCTTAACTTGGGCCGAGCATATTAAACAAAAGCGTCTCTTACTTAACTCCAGACGAAAAAGCCTTTACCCACTGCTAGGCAAACATTCCAAGCTAAACCTTAAAAATAAACTATTGCTTTACAAAACCCTTCTGAAACCCATTTGGGTTTACGGTATCCAATTATGGGGAGCGGCAAAAAAATCGAACACATATAAAATGCAAACATTCCAATCAATAACACTTCGTATAATCACCAACGCTCCCTTTTACGTTACCAACCATACTTTACACTCTGATCTTGGACTACCGACTGTAGCCGAAGTGGCCACATCCTCCAACAAGCGCTACCGATCTCGCCTTACAAACCATCCCAACCCACTTATCCTCGCCCTCAACTCCGCAAACATTCCAGGTAATCCACCAAGAAGATTAAAGAGACGCTGGTGTCGCGATTTAGATACCTAAATTGTCACTACTTTAAATTAAATAAATAAGAGAAAAAAAAAATATAAAAAAAATATATATATACTTAAGTAAAATGTACATAATATAATGTAAAATTCACCTTAAATATCATGTCGAGTGTTACCGCTGGGTTGCTACTCACCTCACGCATTCACAACAATTGTATTTCAACCCATATGCTTATTGTAACCATTATT